TTGAGTGAGTAAGAGAAACATCGGCAGCCTTACCAACGAGTAGTATCCGCTGCCCTTAGAACACTTCTACCTGTCCCAGTTTTTCATAAGGAGTGAATGCAGAGGTTTTTATGCGTTTTGTGCTGCGTAACAGCAGTACAAAACGCATATTGTCATAGGGTTGTCTGTGTATGTGTTTGTATGTATGTGTATGTGTTCGCAGCAACTTGTCTGCAACTTTCAACTCCGGAACCACAGAAGCTAGGAATTTGAAAATTTGGAAGAAATTTCCCCACCCATGTACGATCCAGCAAATTTAAATTCAGCCTCACGTAGCCGCGGGTAATGTGTACGGCCCCTAAAAGTTTGGGTTGGTAAAATTATTATCTCAGGAGCCACAGGAGCTAGAAAGCTGAAATTTTGCGAGCATGTCCCTTGCCCAGTTCCTACCCAGAAAGTTTAAATTCACCCTTCTCTTGCCCACGGGTAACACGAACGACCTCGTAACAGTTTTGGCGGGTAAATTATTATTTCGGGAGCCACGAAATCTACGAAGCTGAAATTTCAGGGTAATGACCCTCGTCCACGCATGACTGTGCAAATTAAAATTCAGCGTTCCCGCGCTCTCGGGTTCAGCTACGGGCCGGTGAAAATTTTGACGGAGAAATTATTGTTTTGGGAATCAAAAAGTCAAGAAGCTGCAGTTTTGCGGTACTGTCGGTGCGCGAGATTTTTAACTATATTTCAACGTTTCAGCTATTTTTGCTCAGACTAAAGTATCAAGCAGTGGAAATCATTACAGGTAATCGTTCTGTGGATGAATCGCACAAAACGCATGGTCGCACCGGCTAGTCTGGTGCGCGTTGCTATTTATTTATTTCCAGTCTGTGCAGAGCCAATATTTCGATGTTCGATGACGAAGTATTTCCACATCAAACAAATTGCCTTTTTCACATATACTTCGTCCCAGCAGTCTTCATTATATACAGATGGTATCTTAGCATTGCCAGCTTTTCAAATCATTACCTTTGACAGTCCATCCCTTACATTTTTCAGCCCTTTTTCAATAATATCAGAATGCCGCCAGCAGTCTCCTGAAAACTTTAATTATTGGAAGTAAAATGGACCAAAAAGAAGCTACATGGGCGAAGCTACCAGTTTTTC